AACATGTATATTTTGCATAATCTATCTGCAATTCTTTTTTTCTTAAAAGAAGAGAAAAAGAGGATTTTTTCAGGAAGGAGGAGAAAATTTTGCTTAAATTACTGCAAAGATATCACTTTGGATATCACACTGTAAATTATCTGTAAGAAGAATGTTGTTCTGCTTTTTCTTCACCAGTGAAACATGAGGATCCAGTTTGCCTGTTTGCTTCTGGTGCTGCTCTTTGCCACAGAGATTTTTGCAGTCAAGGACAGTCCTCTGAAATTTAAAGACAAGCATATCGTTGAAAAGATGAATGAAAATGATTGTGATGCTAAAATGGAAGCCATCAATAAGGGAGCACAGCAATGCAGGAAGACCAATACCTTCATCCAGAGCGAGGAAAGTCAAGTGATAGAGCTCTGTAGTGGTGTTATGAATAATAGATCTGTAACAAGTACCAAATCCTTTCATATTATTGAGTGTACCGAATCTGATTGCTGTAAATATAGTAATAATATAGGTAAATGTTCCAACAAAACCATTACAGTCACATGTTTTAATCAGAAGCCTGTGCACTATGGAGAGCCTAAAAACAATTTATTTCTGTTTTGTTTTACCAAATACAGAAGTTATTGTCAAAGTATAGAAAAAAATGTAAGTGTGTTCCATAAAATAACATGTAACTGGTACATATACTTTAGCAGACATTTACTGTAATGTCCCTGCTCTTGTAATTGGCATAAAGATTAAAAAATACAATCATTTATATTTCCCTTTGATTTAATTGAATATAGTAAAGAATTGCTTATTTTAATGAAAGATTTAAAACACATTGTTCGATGTATTTCCTTGTTCTTGTAAGGCGTCAACACTGTCTGCCAAAAAAGAGACAATAGAGGGAGAAGAACTCATGGAGGTAATGTTATTGGTTTATCAGAATCCGCTTTAATGGCCATGTATGTGTACACATTCTAGGAATTACATTGCAATGCACATACACAAACAAACAAACAAATGCCCAACAAGAAGCAGACATACTATAGTGTACAGTACACACACATCATAGTCAAAAAACAACATTTGAAGACAGCAAGACAATAGTGCAGTAAGCATAAAACAAGGATGCTGTAATAAATATGTTTGTGCAGGTGTTATTATGTAGGCCACATGATGTGATGTAGGTGGATATAATACACTCACCTAAAGGATTATTAGGAACACCTGTTCAATTTCTCATTAATGCAATTATCTAATCAACCAATCACATGGCAGTTGCTTCAATGCATTTAGGGGTGTGGTCCTGGTCAAGACAATCTCCTGAACTCCAAACTGAATGTCAGAATGGGAAAGAAAGGTGATTTAAGCAATTTTTAAGCGTGGCATGGTTGTTGGTGCCAGACGGGCCGGTCTGAGTATTTCACAATCTGCTCAGTTACTGGGATTTTCACGCACAACCATTTCTAGGGTTTACAAAGAATGGTGTGAAAAGGGAAAAACATCCAGTATGCTGCAGTCCTGTGGGCGAAAATGCCTTGTTGATGCTAGAGGTCAGAGGAGAATGGGCCGACTGATTCAAGCTGATAGAAGAGCAACTTTGACTGAAATAACCACTCGTTACAACCGAGGTATGCAGCAAAGCATTTGTGAAGCCACAACACACATAACCTTGAGGCGGATGGGCTACAACAGCAGAAGACCCCACCGGGTACCACTCATCTCCACTACAAATAGGAAAAAGAGGCTACAATTTGCAAGAGCTCACCAAAATTGGACAGTTGAAGAAAAATGTTGCCTGGTCTGATGAGTCTCGATTTCTGTTGAGACATTCAGATGGTAGAGTCAGAATTTGGCGTAAACAGAATGAGAACATGGATCCATCGTGCCTTGTTACCACTGTGCAGGCTGGTGGTGGTGGTGTAATGGTGTGGGGGATGTTTTCTTGGCACACTTTAGGCCTCTTAGTGCCAATTGAGCATCGTTTAAATGCCACGGCCTACCTGAGCATTGTTTCTGACCATGTCCATCCCTTTATGGCCACCATGTACCCATCCTCTGATGGCTACTTCCAGCAGGATAATGCACCATGTCACAAAGCTCGAATCATTTCAAATTGGTTTCTTGAACATGACAATGAGTTCACTGTACTAAAATGGCCCCCACAGTCACCAGATCTCAACCCAATAGAACATCTTTGGGATGTGGTGGAACGGGAGCTTCGTGCCCTGGATGTGCATCCCACAAATGTCCATCAACTGCAAAATGCTATCTTATCAATATGGGCCAACATTTCTAAAGAATGCTTTCAGCACCTTGTTGAATCAATGCCACGTAGAATTAAGGCAGTTCTGAAGGCGAAAGGGGGTCAAAGGGGGTCACAGTATTAGTATGGTGTTCCTAATAATCCTTTAGGTGAGTGTATATACAGTATATACAATATGAATATCTACTGAATTACAAAAATGACTAATAAATAGTAAACGGTATAAATATATAAAGTATAATATTAATCTACAATCAATATTTACCATTATATTGCATTGCAAGGTAGCAAAAAATTACAGAACACTGCATTATAGCATTAATAGTAACATTAGTTGAGTCGTGCAGCAAATATGAGATTAGGAATAAACACCAAATAACTTTATTTCACTTTGGCTACAGTCACGTTCTCTGTGTAAATGAGTCCAGTGATAAGCAGGATGATTTTCGAGCTCAGGCTCTCCAGTGAGGAAGAGGCTGAGAAATGGCTGCAGGACCTTCAGCATTCCTCCACCTTAACATGAAGGAAAGTCAGAACCTACCCACAGTCAGAGCGATACAATGCATAGAGTTGCATGATGTATGTTTCTTGTCCTCAAAAGACGCATGGAGGACAGGAAGTAAAGGTAAAATGCAAGATAAACCTGTGTGCACCGTACCATAGAGCCCTGGGGGTAAAATGATGCCATATTTATTGAAAAATTATTCCATCCATCGTCAACTGTTTATCCTGCGTACAGTGTTGTGGGGGGCTGGAGCCAATCCCAGCTCACATTGGGTGAAAGGTGGGGTACACCCTGGATATTTCATTTCATTTCATTTATTATACAGGAAAAGTTTAAGAACAACAATTTAGTTACAGTAAACGGGCCTGACTCAGTTTAAAAACTGGTTTACAGCAGGTTTCTGTTCAGCAGCAACATAGAACAATAAACACAATTTCAATACATTTATACAAGATATTATTATTGACTAGACAGATACAAACAAGTGAAACATTAAATACGGGGAAACAAGACTAAAAACAATACATGAACAATCAATGTGTACAAGTATGACTGTTAAGAAGAATCAGTTTATATGACTTTTTGAAATATGTGATGGATGATAATGTTCGAATATGATGGGGAATGTCATTCCAAATTTTAGTGTAAATATAGAAAAAAGTTTTCTGATCGTAGTTGTTTTTGTATGATGGAACTGGAATGAGTGCCTGTGAGACTGACCTAGTGAATCGTAGTGGTCTCATGTTGTATGTCGAAAGAAGACCTTTAATTACACAATCTGCAAAAAGATTAAAAATTAACAAATAAACACATCATGATCCACACATACAGATAGAACGTAAACTACAAACAAGAATGAACTAGTACATGTACAAATATGTAATGCATCAGAGAGAAGAAAGATAATAAATGCTCCCTATTCAGTGGCATATTTAGAGTTTAAGGTGGACTTATGTTTGTCTTTTTCCAGCCACAGAGATGCAGTAGCAGTTTTTCAGATGTGTGGGTGAAAATGTTTTCTTTGATTATTTAGACTATTAACAATCATGGAAGAGTCACAGAGCAGTAAGCAAGCATTTTAATGTTGTTGGTTTGTACTTTAACACACTGGATTATTAAAGATGAAACAACGGTCACAAGTTTAATGTGCTGACATTTAGCTTTATGTTGGGTCCACATTTAACAGTGTAGTTACTGTTTGATACAAACTCTACTAATATTTGGGGAAAAGAAGTTTTCGGACGAATGAACACACTTCATATTTGTTTGAAACTTCTTTGCGGTCAATGAGTCTTTGACCCATAGACAGTGACAGACACTGGGTATTGTCCCTGGTAATGCTCTGCCACATTGCAGTGTTTCTTTTATTGCGACATACCACAGATGTTGCAAGGTTTACTTATAGAGTAGCTGCTGACAGTGATTTGTGGTTGAGTTGAATTTCGTTGGATTACTTCAGTGAACAGTTTCAAAGTGCTCCAAGGATTTGGAGTAAGACCCTGACTAACGGTTTTCCTTGGTTGTGTATTCTTTAATGTTCAGTCATTAGTTTAATTTACCATCTTCTCTCTCTTTCCTGCATCTTAGTCTCCCTCTGCTTCACTCTTACTGCACAGCATGTGAGGTCTGAATGGAGAGATGGGTCACAAGATGTCTTTGTTCATGATCATTTTGTTCAATAAGCTGTTGCAATGAACCAAGTTCATTTGAATATTCAGGCTAGAGGATGGAAACATGAGCCACAAGAGTTATGGCGATGTGTTCTTGGCTCAGTGAACCTGGGCACATCTTGCTATCTTTTACCTCTTCATCTCCATTAGGATATGCCTAATAGTACTCAGCTTAGATTAGTTTAGAGTTTCATCTTTCTGAATAAACTGTAAAGATGTTTCACTGCACCTTACATGGTTGGTTACTCTTCCCATCATCACGGTAGTGAATAGGACACAAAATGAGCGGGGATAAAACATTACACTTCTGGAGACAAAGGAAGATGATAAATGGTCCCTTCTTCCCATCTAAAGTGTTTGAGCTGTACCTTTTTTTATGCAAATGATACGTGATATGGATGCTGCTGCTGCGGCTTGTAGTCTTCAAAGACGATGTTGTTGAGCTCCAATATCATCCATGTCACTCCAGAGACACAAGCAGTTTAAAAGCACAGCGTGCTGTATATGGAGGTGTGTGAATGTTTTATTTGAATAACCACAATCCACCGTTAAAAGTGTTCTAGTCATTCTCACTGAGACTTTAGTTACTCACACAACTTTATTGTATTAAAACTTGCTACATATACTTAAACATTTATTTCATTTTTAAATTTAAAAGAAATTTCCCTGTGGTTTTTATTGAGACATGAGATTAAAAAATGCAAAAAAATGTTGAAACATCATGTCTGTTTTCTCAAATATATCCTATATTATCCATTTATTTACATTGATATAATAAATAGTTACTTATTTTAGTGAAAGAGTTCAAACACATTGTTAGATGCATTTCCTTTTTATGTATGAAATAACTGTCTTATGGTTAATTGAACAAGACGTCAAAAGGTAAATTATTCAGCTTTCTGTCTTCAACAGCTGTTTGAATTATTTTTCATTGTGACATGAATTTTTCTGAAAATCAGACCACAGAAAAGAAAGTAAAGAGGTGTTTTACATTTCATGGTTGCAAGCAGAAGCAGCATGGACCTGACAGAAAATACTAAAAAAGACTGTAACAATTCTGCTGTGTTTCAAAGCTCTGCCTGCACTGAATAAGGAGCAACGTCATCCAGGTAATAGTTATCCAAAGTGCTTTCAAGATCAAGAGCAACTAGACTTGGTTGAAGATGTTTCGCCTCTCATCCAAGAGGCTTCTTCAGTTCTGAGTGACTTGCAGGGAATCCCATCTATTTAACCTTTGTGGAGTGGTTATCAAATGGATGGATACACCTTGGGTTGTTTGTGCTCCTGCCCCAAAACGACACCCATACCAGTCCATTTTCTTTTTGTTTTTTTTTGAAAATCTAGAATATATACAAACAAGTTAGCAAAGGCAAGAAAATTTACAGTGGTGGAAATGAACTATAGCAGCAGACAAGATAAATAAAATAATTAAATGCAAACAAAGGAGGAGCACAAGAGTGACAATAGACACATTAAGCAAGGAGGTAAACTTTTTTTTGCACTTCTATTCATTTTATCCATAGCTTTCTACTTATACTGTATATAAAAGGTACATATGTGACTTTGACCCATTTTTATCAACATGGATCCCAGTTATTGTATGTAAATAATGCATTACATTTACTGAAGAGGGTTTCCAGCTTGATCCTTCCCTTTATTAAGGCAAGGTTGTCAGCATTTCTGACTATAGTAAAATGAATTAATGATATTGCTGAAGGCTGGCAATACAGGCCAAAAATAACTAAAGCAAACTGAGCATATAAAGTTAGCCTACACGCTGCAACATTATCCTCTCTTTGGTCATTTTGCAAAAGTAGTAACATTCATAGCTTGCCTATTGGATTCAGTTATTGTTGACAGTTCAAAACATAAGCAACATAGCAATTTATGCCATAAGAGAGTAAATGCTTAATAGCAAATGATGACTAACATGGTGATCGATTTCCTATATCCACCATGGTCGATGGATTTCTTTTTTTTTGTAGGATGGATTGTAGAAAATTCAAATACAACAAAATGTCAACAATCTGAAAAATAAAATATTGTTGAAACAGTATTATATTACAGCAAAGGCAAAACAATACACACCAAAAGAAAGAAGTAAATTGTGAGTGCCTTATTGAAGTATCATAAATTAGTCCAGTAAAGAAATACGTTTCTGGCATTCCTTATTGATTATACTATTGTTATATTATTGATTGGCTTATACAATCCCATCATTCCTGTCCGTCATGTATTGCAATATACATTATTTACAGTATGTCGCAAGTAACACAATGTGGTCGATGGATTTTATCATTTGAGAACGGTGCGTCGCTTAAATGTTGCTACTGTGGGAAGGCATTATCCAGTGTACCATATGCTACAGGAGGTAAGAAAGGAAGCACTGAAGCACCTTTCCTTAGCTGTTAGAGAATTCAACCTGCTGTTATCATGGCTGCCATTTAAATACTTACAGGTCACTTCACTGTTAGGCACCTTCCTAAGCAAAAAATACTTTTCATACGCTGCCTTCGTCCGCAGCCATCGAGGCTCGCCGACGCATCGCGACGCCAGACAGATATCCAGCACGAAGTCGGCGACTCCACACCCTGTGGCGTGAAGAGTGTCGTCATTGGCAGTGACTGCCTACAACCAATGAGAGAGCAGGGTAGGGGGTGAAGTCACCGGAAGGGAATCCCGCGAAATATGTGAGGGAAGCATCGTCCGCGTAGAAAGGGGAGAAATCAGCTGTACTTTAAATAAAAAAGAAAGCAGCTGTACAACTGTGATCATTAACAACACACAGCGCCAAGTCTGCAGGAAAGGACAAGAAGAAGAAGAAGACGACAAACGAGAAGCAGCAACATGGCGACAACAAAAGTGTGGACACAAGCATTGGAGCAAAACCTAATTGAACTTTGGCAGCAGCACGAGTGCCTTTATGATGTTGCAAACGAGATGTACCACAACCGAGCTGAGAAAGAGAAGAGGTGGACAGAGGTCGCCAGTGCTCTTCAACAGCCAGGTGAGCCAAATATGTTCATACAGTAGGAGCTAACGATAGTTACCGTAGTGACGAGAGATCTATGATGCATTCACGTCGCTGCTGTAATCAAACACGAGACTGAAGCCAGCTGTTGAGCAGAAAGTTAAAGGAAACCCAACATGCAGAGCCACTGATTACATTTACATTTACTCATTTAGCAGACGCTTTTATCTGAAGCGACTTACATTTGAGGAACAACATACAAGTATCAACAGAGCATCAAATACAGATCTACAACTGACGATACATACTGGTAAGAGCAGCAATAAGTACTAGTAAGAGCTAATAGTACATATCACATCAATGGGGTAAATACCTAGGGAAGGAAGTAAGAGTTAACAAAAAGTGCAATCAATACAAGATCATTGTAGGGGATAGAAGAAGAAGAGCATAGGAAGTGCATGTTAGAGGTTAGGGGTTAGAGGTGTTATAAGATTAGACATCTTAAACACACTTTTAAATTTATAAAACCTTTATTCTATTTGTGATAAAAAAAAATATAAAAGCAACATGTACCACTATACCCAACTCTGTCAACTCTGGACTAGATAGACATACATTTTGTCTGTACTTAGACAATAACTTCACTATTATAACAAAACATACACATTCTTCCAGTTCAATGGACGGTTTTTGATCTGGGCATGGTCTAATGTGGTCTTGATGTGAAAAAAACCTTGTATATATCGCCCTTTATATTATTTTCACAAATAGAATAAATCTTTTATAAATCTAAAAGTGTGTTTCAGACAGCGTGAAGGCTCTGAATAAGATGCATAAACAGATGTGCAAGAAACAGAGGATCGGTCACTCAGCAATGTAAGTTAATGACAATGAATTAATGGCTATATTTATATAGCAGCATTATCTTTATCTCACCTGCTCAAACATCACTGCAGGTGCTACCAAGCACCTTAAGTAACAACTGACAACAGCACATTTTCTTTCTTGTTTTTCTCCTTCAGTTGAGGAAGTTAAAACCAGGGCAGTTTCCCTGCGAACGCAGTTTGTAAGGTTGGTGAAACCAAAACCGAGTGGGAGTGACAACAAACCCTTGACTCCTAGGCAAAGGTGGCTCCTCAGGGCCATGGGTTTCATCAAAAAATACGTTTCTCACCGTCCATGTGAAACCACTGTAAGTTATACAGTCTACACAACAGACTGCAAGCTTGTATGAGTGTTAGTACATTAGTAATGATGAAATGTTAAGGTATTTTTCCTTCTCTAATACAAAAAGTATAACATTGTTAAGGAGAGGTGAGAACAATGACCATGAATGTGGCATTTCTGTTTCATCTCTCTTCCAGCTTTGTGTGTCATTCAGCGAGCAGGATGACGGAGAGGACAGACCTGACACCCCATCAACAGCTAGCACATCAAATACTGCCTCCTCCCTTGACTCGTCAGACGAAGGAACTTCTTCAACAGCTGTCGAGGAAACTGCTTCACCTGCCTCAACTTACAGCAGGAACACACAAATGGAGTCAAGCACTAGGAGAGTCAAACGCAAGTGGAGGTCAGAAACTGACATCGAGCTGCAGAAGCTTGTATTCTTGAAGCAGATTGCAGCAAAAGGGGCTGCAGACCTAACGGCAGATGCATTTACAACATTTGGGAACCAGGTTGCCTCGGAGCTGAGGCTAATTCAAGACCCTGCGTACCTTACAAGACTGAAAAGGAACATAATGAATATGATCTATGACACTCAGGACACTGAAAGGAACAGATCCTTCTCTTCACATGCACCACCCACATCATACACATTTCAACCCGTCATTTTATCACCTGTTAAACTGGACGAATGTGTATGTAAGGAAGAAAAATACGAAACACAGATTACAGTCAAATGTGAAAATGAAGAGCCCGTGGACTATGGCTATCCATAATAACAAACGGTTCATTTTCTGTTTTGCTAAATAATAGAGGTTATTGTTTTAAAGAAAAATGTGTGTGTGGCCCATGAAATAACAGAATATCCCATCTTGTGCAAACTCCCACTGTAGAACGTACATGCACTGTTTTAAATGTTTACTTTTATTTATCCGACATTTCCTAGAAGAAATTTCTTTGATTTGGAATCTGGTTTTAATGCAAAAGTACACAACTTTATTGGATTAAAACCCACTACATATACTTTTACTGTAATGTAAAAGAAATGTCCCTGCAGTTGTATTTGGCATCAAGATTAAAAAATGCAAAATAAAGTTTGAAACATCACAATAACTGTGTCTGTTTAATATATATTGCGCATTGATGTACATGGCTGCATAATGAAACAAAATTTGTAGTCCTACTACTACACACACACAACATATAATTAAGTGTAGGTCTACATTAAAATATGGCAACATGTAAATATATCAATCTAGTAAAGAATTGCTTATTTTAATGAAAGATTAGCTTTAAAGTCAAACTGTAAATGATTTAGCTTTTTGTCTTTATTGATAAATTGTCTCAAATTAATTGATTTTATATTGTGAGATGAATTTTCCTGCCATAAATCAGAACACAGAAAACAAAGTGAGGAGGTGTTTCACATTTTAGTCCAGTCACAAATTGCACTGCTTTTCAAAGCTGTCCCCACTGAAGTAGCAGCAGCGCCCTCTGCTGTTTGTTGAAGGGAAGTGAAAAAGCTTACAGCACCTGGTGGGTGCACTTTGTAGGTAATAATGTAATTTAATTTCATGTTCATGTGGGGAAATTGTTTCAATGTAATCGGAAGTAATCCTGCCCAGAATTTATAAACCATACGCCAATATTTCTCTGTGTGTAAATGAACACAGATGTGATGATCTATAAAAGGAACTTCATGTTTAGTTTACTGTTGCTTACGGCCATACCACCCGGAGCATACCTGATCTTGACTGCTAAGCAGGGTTGGTTCTGGTTAATACTTGGATGGCCGACCACCTGGAAATACTAGGTGTTGTAAGCTTTTTACTTCTCTTCTTCAAACAGCAGAGGGTTAAAAGCCAAGGCGGTGTATGATTTACAAAAAAGATCTCATATATTTGTGCTATGGGAACTTTAAACTCCAGATTACCTTTCCGATGTTGTTACTTAATGTTGAGTTTTTTTCCTTGATTAATTTTACTCTATATATCCTCCTTTTCCTTTGTCCAGGCAACACACATGGTTTTTAAGTATTGATAGGTAATGGAGAAAAAATTAATAGTTTAATTTCTTTAATACCTTCTACAAGAAGTAATTAATGAGATATTTGAAATAAAAAAATAAAAAAAGTCTGAATGGATCCACAAGGAGGCAAAAGAAAAGAGTAAAATTGTTTATTGTATCAGTAAAGATCAACGGAAGGCACACATACAGTATCTGAGGGTGGACGTCACACCAGTGCCTCTCTCCAGCCGCCATCATACACAAACGGTAGAAGTCATTCCACTTTGGAGAGGCTGAACGTGATGCAGTACGTTAGCAGGCCAAACTCTGCAGCTCATAGTACAACGTCAAGCAACTTCAGCCTTTTGCAAAAATATATTCATATAATTATACACCTTTTCTACACATTGAAGCAAATCAACTATACAAAATGCAGAAAACTATCTCAGCACAGGTGAGTCGTTTGTAAGAAAGTCCATGCTTATTATTAGCATCGTAGTGGCAGTATTACAGAATCAAAAATAGCAGTACCTTTGTCATAAAACTGTTCAGGAAAAACGTCCATATAATGCCAAAAATATTAGCTTTGAAAACAAGTACACAAAAGACATTTCAATATACATGTTTATAGGAGTACTATGACATCTGGAAAATACAAGTCTGTCCCTTTCAAGCAGTATAAGGTTTACCCAAAAGACAATTAGAAGTAAATTAGTAAAGGAGTGCCATGGCTTTGAGATACTTTTTGGTTGAAATACAGATCCCAGAGTTCACATATGCGAGGACTACAGCTACAAAATGACAGCCCAAGCATTTGGGTGACTGTGACATGGATTCTTTAGAATAAAACTGAAACATTGACAAAAAAGTTGTAATGTTATGGGTGTAAAAATGTAATTACTACAAAAAAAAAAGTAATATTGTGAAAATGTGTACTTTTTAAAAATTCTTGTAAAATTACAACTTCTGTCCTCGAAAACTTACAACTTTAGTTTTCCAACGTAATTTTAAACTGTTAAGACCATTTCTTGTCATTTTATGACATTTTTTTCAAAACATCACCTTTCCCCCATAATGACATTTGCTTGTAAAACTATGACTTTTATCTTAAATCTTTAGGACTTTTTTGTGACATAATGTTTTTCTCAAAATATTACAACTTTATTCTTGAAACTTTCAATTTTTATAAAAGATTTTGGCCAACAGTGCTCCTAACTCATTGTAACAAAAAAAAAAAAAAAAAAAAAATTCAGATCTACAATAGTTTTGGACAAAGAGTTTTGCTGAGGGTGAAAGTTCAAATTAACAGTCTCAAAGATTCTCTTATTTTTTTAACTTCAGGCTGAATCATAAATTTGCAAACAAAACTTTAGGCAAAAAAAGACACTTTCGATAAAAAAGTTATCTGATATATTCATCTTTTCCGTGACGTACGTGATGCGGGTAAACACTGCTCAGTCAGTTCTCCTCCAGCTGCCAGGCTGTGGAGTCTAGTATGGGTAGCTGTCAGGGAAAGCCAGTCCCTGGATGCACTGCTCCCCTCCTTCCGCCAGGTACGGGCCCTCCTCTTCATAGCCGGGCAGGGGGAGGCCGTCCTCCTCGCCTGAAGGCTGGGTGGTATCTGGGTCAGCCTTCAGACTTGGCCTCTGGTTGTCTGGGAAAGCCATGGAGAAGAGCGCCTCGGGGTTGCATACGAACTTGTAGACATACCTTTCCCCAGCCACCTGCAGGACGAACCAATCAGAGGTGAGAGAATTTAATTTTGTGATTTTCTTCACAAAATCCATCTGTTTTACTTTGCATAGGTTGATACAAAAAACCATCTACCACATAAATGCAAAAGGGGAAAACCCATAGGAAAGGAATGATAAGATGTAGCTAAGACTTAATAATAAATGTGTAACCACATATAAGTGGTCTGGAGGATGGAACTGAAACATGACCTGCCTTTACCTTCTGCATGATGCCCTTCTCGTAGTAGTACCTCAGCGAGCGGCTCAGCTTGTCGTAATTCATGGCCGGTCGATTCTTCTGGAGCCCCCAGAGTCGAGCCACCTGAACACAAGGCAGGAAGAATACAAAAAATCTCAATACAATCACCCAGAGCTGGAGTCATCTTATCTTTATTCATTTAGGTTTCCTTTCATCCTTGCTAAATGTGAATATTTCTCCTCACATTTAAAGAATATCTATGCATCTTAAAGTGGCCCTATGTGTGGGGTTTGAACGATGACCGACCTCTTCAGGATCGATTAGTTTAAACTCCATGTTGCGTCCCGTCCAGACGATCAGGTGTGCGTTGGCCGGGTTGTCCAGCAGCGTGAGCAGGAACTGCCAGAGCTGCAGGGAGCCGCGGCGCTGGTACGGCAAACCCTCCTGCTTCACTTTACCTGCTTAAAGAGTCAGATAGCACACAATGAGAATGTGTCTCACTATTTGTGGGCACGGAAATAATCACAAGTTCTGTTCCTCTTAGAATATCAGTAGCAGTAATTAAAAAAAACTAATCATCCTTTAAAGTTAAATTCTAGTTTTGGACAATGCCATAGTCTTACCTTCCAGTCTTTCTGGCACAACACATGTGTCGTCATAGTACAAACGTGGCTCTCTGTCATGACCAAACCCTGTGGGGAGAAATGAGAAATATTATTAGTAAAGTTAACATTTGTTCTACTAAAAAGAACTCAGACATCACGACAGAAACTCATTTTAAAGCAAAGACAAACTTAAACTCACTGGCATTGTTATTCTGGTACATGACTGAAGACTTCCCAAATGAGGACGAGTGGCAGGTTTGAACTTCTGGAAGACACAAAGCACGTCACAAGTTTTCATCTGCAAAATGAAAGCCAATTGGAAGTCTTGGTCTCACCACTAAAAGTATATGTCATTCAATAATTTTACACAATTAAGTGCTAATAATTAAATATTAAAGCTGTGTGGCAAGACAGTCGTGGTTTCTTTTTTTTTTTAATCGATATGTAACTTTACAACATCAAAACTTGACTTCAAGGAGTCACTATGCTTCAAATGAACTACTTGTCAGGTCATCATACAGCGCTTGAAAACTAGGTGTGCAGAGGTAAGATCGGAGCACTTTTGCCTTTAGACACGCTTGGACGACACGTTGAATGAACTAGTTCATTTCAAGCGAGCAGAACACCAAAGTCTTGAGTCAGTGTCTTAAATGTTAGGGCTCTGATATACGTAGATAAATTGGGAGCTTGTGTGTTCACATGTGCAGTCAGAACATGCAGTCAGTGTGCCTATGGGAACATGGGCACATGACAAAATTTACTTCACATGACCAATGTTCCAGCATGGACGCAGAAAGTATCATTGGAGCCCACAGATCTGGTACAGAAGTAGCAAAATGTAGATGTAGCAGAAAACTCACTTACCTGAGTCAAAGCCAAAGTCTCTTGGCTCTTGTTTGATCGTGACATGGTTGAAGGCGGTCTGGTGCCGGGCCAGACCTGGACCATGTGGTCCTGGCTCTGGGTATTGTGGATCCAACAGCTCCTGTTTGAAAACTCGGGGGCCGTGGGGGACCAGGGGCTCTGAAAGGTGGCGCTGGTACAGCGGTCGGCCATCACGGCTCGCGGGTTGGTACGGCGTGTTCACGGGTTTCTCCGGAGCGAGAAAAGACAAGCAGGGCTCTGACATCTGCCGCTGAAACCTAAAGTGTAGAAGAAGACACGTGGAGGTTTGAGGGTTTAAACAGACTTTGTTTCCAGTTTAAATTTCATAAAAGTAGGAGTCAGAACTCACCGTTGTTCTGTGCTGAAAGATGCGCTGGGGCAGCTGATGGCGGGATGAGGCAGAGCAAACTGCTGGCTGTGGCTGGCCTGTGGGAGCGGGTGGCGGTGGGAGGGGCTCAGGGCAGGAACGTGGCTCGGGGGGCAGTTACTGGTCAGCTGTGGGGCCGGAGGTTGTAACTGCCTCTGTATGGGTGGAGGTCCAGCAGGATGGGTGGAGCCACACTGCACTGGTGTGGAGGCTGGAGTCGGAGCTCTGAGCCCAGCTGGCTTGTTGTCGCAGGCACTGAGGAAAGAAGAGAAAACAGGAAGGAGGTGTCAGGTATTAAGTGTTTCACCTAAAATCTTGTTGTGACGGGCTGATACAAATATAATCATACAATGCTTTAGTCTAAAACATTGATTATGTACCTGTAACTATAAAGGCACATGTCAGCGTGAGGTGTCCTGCAGGGAGACAGGTCTTCAGATGGACTGGGCTCTCGCTTCACTTTGCTTGCAGGTGTACCATGAAACATCACTGCAAACACACACGGAAAACAGTCACTCTGGCTGCCCTGGCTTCCTCCTAGGTAACATGCCATTTTCTAAAGCCAGTTTGAAGCCAGTGTGTGTAGAATTTTATTTAAGTGATTGTCACCTTCAAAATTATTATTGATATGGGACAATCCAAGTGAAAATTGCAGCAGTCCATGTGTTGCTTTCAGCCATCCATTTGCTACAGTGTCTTTTGTTGATCCTGTCACCAGATGGAGCCAAAGCTTAAACTGTGTCTGTATTTTTGTAACTATGGGATAATTAATCCATCAGTTCACAAAATAAACATTTCCTCTGACAGTCATATCTAGCCATGCTATCAAATATTATATCTATATATTATATAGAAATTTTATTTTATTCTGCCCTCACCACAATACAATTTGGTGAATAGAAGTGTGTTGGTGGTGAACACCCAAAGCGTTAGAAAAAATGGTCCTGTTTAACAGACAAACATAATGGACAGACCTCACTAACACAATAGACACAAAGTAGGATAGTGAACAGTTGGAATAAGCCTGGGTCTTACATAATGCCTGACAAAAAGAGGATCTACCAATGCCTGACATAAATGGAAAAAGATCACCAGCCTCCGCTTCTTTGTAACAACATTTTAAGCTACAGACTAGAACTTCTCTTATTTTCAGACATGACAGACTAAAACAAGGGTTAAACAATGATTAACACTTTCTAGCACCGTGGCTCACATTTTGAGGTTTGTGTTTAAGCTGAAAGAAAGACAGCCTCCTATCTGATCACAGCCTTCCTGGAATCTGCAGGGAGATTCTCATCAGCACACTGCAGTGACGACACAACGCCGCTAATGTTTCCATCCACAGCGCAGCCGCTGTCAGATTTATTGTCAGAACCGGGAGTCATTCTGTTGAGGCAGCTATCAAGCAGCAATAAATACATGCAGTACGTGTTTAGCAGCAACACTAAATGTTCCATTTCCCCCCCCCAACTTAGGTCTTATCTGTGACATCATTATTTTGAAGGTACAAGTTGAGTTGCTGGAAGTCATTTTATAGCCCAATTTCCTGTGTCATATGACTACAATCATTGAATTGGCACAGATCCACTGCTAGTGTTTGTGTTTGTGTGTGTGTGTGCGTACGTGCGGGTCATATACTGCATTGCAAGTTAACACTGTAAACAGAGTTGTGTTTACACCCCTTTTCCTGGAGAGTACATCGATTGTACTCATTCAAACTCGGATCAACTGGATTTATCTGTTAGCTGATAGGTTGTAGGAAAAATGTCCCAAGCACTAAGTTAAGTACACTTCGGACTTTACTTAAGTATTTCCATTTTATGCTGTTCTACTTCTACTCAAATAGAAGAGGGATATTGTACTTTTTACTCCACTAAATTTATCTTACAGCTATAGTTACTGGTTATGTTAAAAATTTTAAGTTAAAAACATGATAACAACAATAAAAACAGCATCAAAACACTGCTCACATGTCAATGAATCATAACAATCCAATAGAATAATGACAGAAAATGTCTGTTGTGCATGAGGAGTGACATGTAAGTACATTGTGTTGATAAGATTTCTATCATTGTTCTTGAGTTTGGAGTATTTTGTGGTATTGCCACTTAAAAGATAAAGCTGGTATAAATGTATTTTCTGTATTATTTACAAATCCCAGAGCAAGACCAACAGTGTATTAACTTTCTTCCCTGTCTGTGGCCCAAAGCCCATTTCTACTCAAGACCTAAATCTTAAATTAATAATAATCAACAAAAGGTCATAGATATATAGTTTCATTTTTTATAAAGGCTCAGCCATTTCCTAAAGCATGATCTGTACTTGTACAGCACCTTTCTAGTCTCCTTTCTAGTGCTTTTGCACTATGTCGCGTTCACACAGTCACCTACATTCATGCTGTGATAGCATAGGCTAAGGTGCCATCTGCTCATCAGAAACAGAAATTAACATTCACAGCAATTTAGGGCTCAGTATCTTGCCCAGAGAAACATCGACATGCAGACTGGGGGAGCTGCGTGATCGAAACGCTGATCTACCTCCTGACACACCTCACATGAGTAAACCGCATCTGTTGGGACCATTTTCAGCTATGGATTATTTATGGCCGCATCATTTTGTGACAATAGTAAAAGTGTTTGATTCAGTGCTCCACTGTCAATAGGACATTGAGTAAAATGTTCGCTCCCCAGTGTACATACTATAAATATTAGAGGAGAAGCAGCTACTCACAGTTATTGGACTGGAAATCTGGGACAAACTGCTCGTCATCAGGAACCTGAGCTGTCAGATGGGAAAAGACAAGATATTAAAAGGACTCTTCTTATACGGTATTGTCATTTAGAGATCCATATTTCTCTGTTAGTCATTTCCTACATTTCTCAGAATACCCTTTAAATTCACTGTGAAAGGGGCATGACACTGCTTTAAAATCAGTGATGTGCATTCTTTGAATTTCATGATGCTCGCAGGTCTCACCTTCTGCGATCCATATTTCCTGGAGCTGAATCAGATCTTGAAAGAGCTCTGCGAGACAGTTTTGACATTATATTAAAATGGGCGTAACAATATTTAACGTTACTTTCCTAAGTGATAATATCACACAATTACCACATTATATTTCCAAACTCTTTATATTTTCTTTGCCTCCTCACAGGACTGCTGGCACAGACACAAATAGTGTAACAACATTAACTCAAAGTAAAGTTTCAAATTGTCCTGAACAGATCTGAAAAAATGCGCTGTGTCAGCAATTGAGCATAAAATGCAGCTGAAAGCTCCGGAAAAAGCTGGCAAGTAAAATTATTGTAAAGTTATGATTAGATTTACAATAGAGTCTAAATTCACAAGCATTTCAGTCCTTTAGGTCTCCACTAAATACTGACACAGGGAACACTTTCACATGTGGACATGATGCCATAATGAGTCTACCTTCTGTGTCCTGAGCCAGCTCTGTGTCCATGAACTTCCTCTTCCGGTCGCTGAGACATCTCTCTGCTCCCTCTGTGTGACATTTCTAGAAGTTTAACGACAAAACGGTTTAGTGGACATACATTTTAAAAACCTAACTGTAATAAATGCTTGGTCTGCTTCTTATGTAGGTTGATGAGTATATGAAATGTTTTAAACTCACACTCTCAGGGACCACAAAAGGGACCTGCTGGTCATAGAAGCCGTCCATGTCGCTGGTCTTCACCCTGGAGGACAGATTAGGGAAACACATTGTTAGGAAAATATATTTTGAACGCCCAATGCATTTGCCTCTATCCACATTACTGTCATCACTTTCATGTATCTTGGTTTGTTTTTCTAAACTCCATGACCCCACAGCAGGGTTGACAGTGGCTATAAAAGCCTTTCCATCAATGACAGCATGATGCAACCTCCTGTAAGTTAAATATTAGCAATAGGCCGATTAATTGGGCCGATATCTGGCATTTTGAGATAATTAGCTGAAAACAAAATGGCTGCAGACACCTCTGTAGGCAGCCTCATCAGTGTGGCTGCTGTGGAACGATGTCAGTGCTTCCCTTGTGAGTTCTGGCAAGGTGGTGAAAGTTAGTTTCGCGCCCTAAATGTTAACACATTTCTTCTGCATGACAGCTAATCTAAGCTAAAACTATTACTTGCTAGAGTTAAATATATATTGTTATACTGTAGAGAATAATGCAGTTCTATGACGTCACTTATGACAAACTGAACCCCACTGTCCCTTAAACACTAGTCACGTTCTGAAATCTGCAGCATAACCATATATATATATATATATATATATATATATATATATATATATATATATATATATATATATATATATATATATATATATATATATATATATATATATATATATATATATATATATATATATATATATCTATTTCATTAATTAATAAAAACATGTTACTGGCTAAGATAACATGTATATTAGATTGTACACTGCATTGAATAATTGAATTATACATGACTCTTCTTTGTTTTAATATCGGCATTATATTGGCCACCGCCCATCCTGCTGTCTAAATATCGGCCACTGAAAAACCCATATTGGTTGACCACTATTATATCTCAACTTGGAAAGTGCAACCACACTGCTCAGCTGCCAACACCTGATGATGAGGACTGTGAGATCTGGCTGAAAGCTTAAAAAAGCGAGTTAGTGGAGCTTTGAGATGAGATTATAAAACATGCTGTTCCCAAAGTCAAGGATTCATTTCTATAGCCAAATTATTTAGACTTTTATTTCTCTTTTTGATTTATTAAGAAGGGGCACGAAAATGTTTTGAATATTTTAACCTATTTATTACAAATCGTGTATACTTTACAACATTAGTACCCAAAGCACAGAAATGTGTTTCAGATGTTGTGGTAATAGAAAAATGGGTTAAAACTTTGGGAACACTGTTTTAGTCATTTAAATTCTGGTCCAGCAAGATTTGAGTTTACCTAGTTGTTTTTTTAGTCAATTTCAAATGCCCCATAACGTCTCTCGACTATTAATATACTTTAAAATAAATTCAGTGCAGTATAAGGGTAAAATTACATTATGATTAAACAATATCTTGAGATAAAGGTCTCGTACCTTTGTATTTCTCTCATGATTCAAACAGCTTCAGTGAATGCTGTGGGCTTCCGTAGGTAAACATCACTTCTGGCAACAATTTAATATTATGGTGTTAATAACAAGCAAAAACGTGTAATCGCAGTCTGGTTAATACGCTGTAACACATAATTAAATCGTATGACTCACAATTATTAGGCTGTCCGTTGTGCAATCCTGTAAATTAACTCTAAGTAGAAAAAGAAATGTATACAATATTTGTGAATGGAGTTTGGCGTGGCACAGGAAAGCAAAGCACGTATCGTGGGACCTCCTTGTTTTTCTCAATGAAGTGAAACTTGATCGTCGCAGAACAGGCGGGGTGGGGGGGCTCCAGCTTACCATTGACAAATTTGCCACAAAGCACAGAGAAAGACTCACGATGCCGACAGGCCGTAAAAGACAGCTGCTGCAGAAGGAAACACCACTCTGCAAAGCTGACAGATGCGGGGAAATGGACGCAATGTTGCCTTTGATTTTTCAGAAAATGGCGTTCGCCTCTCTTAACCCACATCTGCTCCCCTTACCGCCAGCAACAAATCGCGACGATGCGGTTGACGCTGCTGTAACAAAAAGAAGCCCACGCACGGACACTAGTTTGTATTAAAGTAATATAATAACATTGCAGGACTCACTTGATAAGGGAAGTCTCTTTGCAGATTGAAAAACGACGCAGAATTCCTCCCCTACATCCCCTGCAGCTCCTCAAATAAAAACTCGGCTGTGGATTTTTCTCAATCAAGAGCTGTGATAGCTGGATCTAGACCGAGCCCTTTGCCGCCCTCCTATTGGCTAGTATACAAAGTCAGTCAAAGGGCGAGCCAATTGTCTTTTAGACCGCTCTGACGTCCGTCCCTTGTGTTTTTTATGAATGGCTGCGTTTCATTCATGGATCCACAGTTCTCTTAAAGCGCCAGCGCTGCCATTCCACCAAATGAATAAATAAATAAATAAATCTAAATTTACTTCTCAGTTTTAAATATGTATGAGCAAATACAGCCACGAATACAAAAAAAAAAGCAATATTCATTTGAAATGGTTTAGCTAAATTTATTATATGTAATGATAATTATAATAATAAATAATAAGTGCTGATTTATATTAGATTACTGATTACAAGCCTACAAAATTTTAACTCATATATCCAACAGTATAGTTTATTTATTAATGCTATTACTGAATGAAAACGTAGTTGCTGATTTTACGATGGTGTTGTTTTTTAAAATTGTTTTATCACCTGAGACTTTTTCCTAAAAGGACTTTGCCATTACCCATAGGTCGTAGTTGACATAAAATGAACTTGTAAATATGATGTGGTGTAATGACAAAATAATGAACACTATGGCATTATGAACTTACCATTAAGGGGACACTTGCAATGCAGTATTAGTCCAGATTCCCAAACCATAATATTGTTCTAACACAGTTAAACAACTGCAAAAAGTTACATTACTAGAGAAAGCATCAATTAATCAACCAATTGTTTAAGTAATTTATCAAGCAAAAATGCCAAAGCTTCTCTGTTTCCAGCTTCTCAGAAGTGATGGTTTCCTGCTTTACTCTGTTCTGCGTCATGGTAAATTAAATACCTTTTGAAGATGTCACTCTGGTCTATCGGAAATTATGATGCGCACTATTTCACTGCTTTCAATCTAGTTACAATCTAGTGAGCACTAATTGATATTGGAAATAATCATTAGTGGAAGCCCTAAAGAAGATTAACTCATTATGCTTCAGATAAACGTAATAATGGACTAGGTGTCATTTTTCATTGTGGGTCACCATATGTACCTTTTGATAAGCCAATGACTGCACTTCAGGGTTTTCCCATCATGCTTAGGGCTGTCTAGTGGCAAGCAGGTGCGGTAGCCCTATACACAAACTGCATCCTGTAAGATTATCTTGGCACATGCAGGCAGAGGAAAGAGCACAAATGCCTGTCTTTTATTGAAAGCAGCCAGCTCAAATCTGTGGCAGTTAGAAATGCAACACATTAAAGTTTACTTTTACTTTTAAACTCAAATAAAACAGGACACAACATCCTGAGATGACAATGTGCAATGTCCTCCTGGTATTATTCCTTTTATAGATTGTCTATATTGTTTTTCTTTGTGTATTTTTATACTGCTTCTGTGTCTATCTATCAAACAGGAAGTGTAGAAAAAAATGCACCACCTCTCCAAAGACACACATTTTGCAATTTTGTAACTGTTTCATGTTTGATTTAATCCAGCATCACACATGACTGCTTCAAAGTCCATTCATCTCAGTGGGTGGCAGAGCAGTTTCTCCACTTTTAATTCCACTTTGATCTCTTTCCACTTCATTACCACTCGCTGCAGAGAGATCACAGAGTCTGTCACCTGACTGTGTGCTAAATGTGGTGCTTTCATAGGCTGTTCTGATACAATGCAACTTTCCCTTTTTGTAATTTTGGAGCATTATCCCTGCAGATAGGTAATCGAGGAAACCATGGTACCCAGGTGCAAGAAAATGTTTTGATGCCACGTCCTGTATAACATCTTCAATCTGTGGTGCGGTTATTGTATCTCTACACTGTCTTGAGAAAGTTCTACAGACTGCATCAGCCACTAAACAAAGATCCAATCATCATTTAAGTGTCTTTTGTGTGATTATTTGTTGTGACACCCAACACTGTGTAAACTTTTATTAACTTTTGGCCTATTTAAAGCATCACAAAGAACCTTGTCCATCCTCCCCATGCAAGTTAAAGAATATTCAGGCACTGTAGACATTGAATGAAGCATGATTATCCAATTCTACTGGACAATTAGTATTTGCTGGATCATTTAGGAGATATCTGACATTGTTTTCAGAACAACAGCAGCTATTTTAAAGGTTTCGGAGATGGTGCATTTGTCTAATAAGGTGTAGGAATTGTTAAGGCTGATATCTGATCAATCGTCTGCAGCCTCATGATTGTACTAGACCATAATTGAAAAATTGTGTCAGATTGAAATAGTTAACAAGAAGACAACCGACAGAGTAAAACAATTATTGCTGCGTTTAGAACTAAGTTTTAAAAAGCAATAGTTATAATTTTTTAATTGTATTTGCAGCCAGCACTAAAAACTCCACTGGTACATCTTACCATTTGAAAGTAAAGGTTTCATTTTATGACTTTAGACTAAATGACCTGTACAGGTGGAAGTTTTTTTCCCTTTTGCAGGGTGCAGTTTGTGTTCTTCAAAACTGCTTGATCAGCGTCAGGGATGCCAGGACAGATCTGTGTGTGCTATAAAAAGTAGAGTTCAAACATCAGCTGAGCTCAGCAGCTCTGTAACTGATTTGCAACATCTCCTATATACTCATCTACTACTGTGTCCATATCACATCACTGATATTTATTCTTCCGTTTTGGCAGATCAACAAATGTGATATCATCTAACACGTCCTGTCAGGAAATTAGACACTGTTGTCTGACAGTTTCTTATCAAATGTGTCTGCAGGTTGTGGTTATGATGGCTTTCTCTTGCTAAATATGATTTTTTTTATTATTCAATGTTGTTTACAGCGCTCCAATACATGGTGTGAACAAGGGTAAGGGAAGAAGAAAACCAAATGTGTAAAAGGGGAAATATTGATGCATGACATTTTAATTTATAGCTTTGACATATAATTATATGTTAGCATCTCATAATTTTCATAATCTTAAATAAAGTATGACTCTAAGACTCTTGAAAAAGTCAAGTTAGATTAGTTCTAAAAACCAGATTACTCTTTAGCAATGATGTTGACTTAATTAATACACATTATCAAATAGATTTTAGGTACAAAGCTACTGTACAATTGTAAAATATTATAATTAAACAGACACCAATACATCATTTTGACTCAAAGTCATAATATTAATGTTTATATGAATCATAATGTTGACTTACCAAGTTTATTTAATAAAATACTGGTAAGATTTTTTTTTGTTTCATCCCCAACTTTACATCTATTTATGTATTTAGTTTAGTTCAGTTTATTACATTTATTTGTTGGAGACCATGCACAAAAAACATTAATTTCATACAAGAAGAATTTGCTAGTAGATAATCCTGTCTGCAGTCCTATGCTCAGACACTAATTTAACCAATGCAGTTATGACAAATACAAGTTTAAAATACAACAAACACCAACTTCAATCATAGAATCAATCATACACACACATTTCCACTATTAAACCCAACACTATGCAGTATATAGTATATCCATTCATCCATTGTCAACCGCTTATCCTGCGTACTGGGTCGCGGGAGGCTGGAGCCAATCCCAGCTGACATCGGGCGAAAGACGGGGTACACCCTGGACAGGCCGCCAATCCATCGCAGGGCCACACATAGACAAACAACCAGTCACACTCACACTCACACCTAAGGACAACTTAGGGTCTATTCAGTATATAACAATATAGAAAAAAAACATTCCACTCAGCCTCTTCACAAGGAAAATATGGAAATCTACTTTCTTTCAAATCATCAGCGAGCTTAAAAGTTGTATGAAGCCTTTCAGTGGTGGAGGCGCAGTGCTGTGAGTGTCTATGTGGAGTTCAAAGTCTTCATTGGAGCATTAAAGCTTGCGTGTCCTGTCCTGTGTAACAAAAATCCAGCACCACCAGGTGGCTCTTGTGCCCACATCCTGCATCCTTTGTATCCTGATAGTTAGATGACTTCTGTATCTCATGGTAACATTTTCATTAAAGTCTTCTCACATTACTTATGTTCTTTCACACTTTCTGACTCTTTAACACAAACATGTGAACGTCAACTCTGTTATGACGACCAGCTATGTGCTGCACAGGGGAGTGACTGCTATCAATCACGTTTTAATAAGGCATGCTTTATAAAGGATGTATAAGTTGTTACTAATGACTTTATTAATGATAACTTTTGGGTGAAAAATCCCTGTGGCTGGTAAGTCAACTAATTAATAAATGGTAATGCATGTCACACTTGTAACTAAGTAACCTACATTTACTGATGAAGTACAACTTTAAGGTGTGAATTGAGTATTTCCATTTTGATGCTACTTTATACTATTTTATTCTACTCGACTTAATCTCAGACATAATGAAGTACTTTTTACTCCACTAGGTACATTTTATAGTAATATTTACTAATTACTCCCTGTTATTTATTAAACAATCCATCCATCGTCAACTGCTTATCCTGCGTACAGGGTCGAGGGGGGCTGGAGCCAATCCCAGCTGACATCGGGCGAAAGGCGGGGTACACCCTGGACAGGTCTTAAACAATCCAATAGTAAATAAAATAGTTAAAATTAGATCCACCAGCATGCAATAAAAGTACAATGCTACTTACAAGTAGCATTAATAATAATCTATATAGTATAACACTCATATGGATTATTTATCTGATTATGAGTTGTTTAAAATACTATAGATTAAGTGATTAATTGCAGTATTGCTTATTATTGTTAATAGGGTTAGACAATCCTCTGTCGGCTTTTATATTCTGCTGGTGCACCAGCTGGTTCGTGAATTGTGTTGATCTGCTCTGCTGTATTTTTCTCTGGCACAGGCTGCCATCTAAGAACAATGGCTGCTAGTTGGTGAATCTTCTTGAATCATCTGTGGGCTTTTGCAGCTTTTCTGTTGTTGTGGTTTAATCGTGCGCTCATCAGCCACCAGATGTTAGGAGCCACTGCTTAGCTATCAGCCTAAAATGTCTCCTCGATCAGCAGGTTGGTGCAGAGAAAGTCCTCTAAAATCTGAGGTTCCCTGAAATACATTATCCACTAGATATTCATGGCCCCCAGAGGATGGACCCTAAGGTTTTTGGGGACTCCCTGACCTTTCAGCTAGTGTCTATAGCTTTTACTTGCAAAGAAGACATTTGAATATTTATTGGGTGATTGTCAGTAAACTGAATTCTCCCCAGAGGATGCACAATGTAAGGTCCTACTGCCATGCCCATGCTCAAAAATCACTCCCATTCTGCTGTAGTTTGTGTGCTTTTATTTGCATGTCTGTTAAGTTCAGAGCAATGAGCGGCAGGAGGGGAGAAACAAGAAGTGGAACGTGGTCTAAAAGTCCACAACACGTTTAATGGAGCCTACAGACGGGTGAAGGGCCCCCCACTCTACATGCCGTCTGTATTCGCCCTTCTCCAGCAGGTACTGGCGTCCACCATAGTTTGGATGCTCGTAGAAGACCCAGACGCCGTCCTGCACGTGAGCTGAGTTAACGTCCCGGTAGCGCCAGCGGTCCAGCAGGTTGGGCATGTCCTCACTGAACTCGATCATCTGGCCGCTGAATTGTGGACGTTCGTAGATGCGCATCCTGTACCTGCTGGAAGGCTTGAACATCAAACCACCAAAAAATAACTCATTAATTAGTGAGCTTTAGAGGTTCTACAAGGCAGATTTATTTATCCTTGGACAGAGCCAAACTGGCTGTTTCCCCCGTCTCGCTTACAGATGCAGGCTAAAAACAAGTAAAAAGTCTTCATGCTTGGTCTGAAATAATTTCATAGGTTCATAAGTGATATAAACACCCAAGAATTTAAATTACAGTAAAAAAAACAAACTGTATGCTGATCTGGAATCTGATTTCATATTTTTTAGGACTTACATATCTGATGAGACGGCAGGAGTGGATGGTGTCATTGAAGCCGTTCCAGCTCTGGAAGTTGGGGTACTCCCCTCTCACGAGGACGTACTGGTAGCCCATGTAATGGGGTCTCTCATAGATGACCCAGGCCCCGTTCTCCACCCGGATGGAGTTGCAGCGGCTGACGTGGGAGCTGATCTCAGGGCAGTCACTGCTGCATTCGTAGTAATGACCCTGGAAGTTCTTGTCCTCATAGAAGAAGATCTGCAAGCATGGCTCTGCATTAGACCAATACATCTACCAGCAGAAAAAACACTACCACTGCAATTATTACCACTAGCAACATTATACAAGTCTGCTAATACCATCACCTTTAAATTATTAAAGGGTTATTCCATTTGGTTAAAATTTTGGTCTTTTTCTTATAGTTTCATAGCTATCATTATTAGTAATGATAACAACATAATTACCAAAATATTAGCTGAGATCTGGGAATTCTGCAACAGTGCTACATCCAAGTCTGATAGGTCAAGAAACTCAAGGAGTCAGACGATCAGACAGGCTGTAAAAATGCCAACAGTTTATCTAAACCACTTTATTTGGAAGGGAAAACAAAAGTTAGTGCACCTGAAATGTCGGTAATAATCCCTCATTCCACAGGAAAACTGTGTGTGCACAGCTAAGGTAAGTACAGCAGGTCAAATTAGAACCAGGAAGGAGGTCTGTATATGTGGCTGATGTTTACAATGTGCCCCACTGAACGTCTTTTTAGACGCCTCATTTCCAGATCCCAGCGATAAAATCGGTGAGTACAATACTATTGTGTTTTATTGATCAAAATGAAAACTTTAATCCAGCATTGTCCTTTAGTGTGTCCTAATTTAGCTTTGTTCTGTGTCAGATGGAGTTGTAAATAGGCAAGTGTTTGCTAACATGTTTGCCGTAATAGCCTTATATGGTAGTGATATGTAAAATGTCATGTTTTTAGCATGTTATGCTGCCCCCAAGTGGGCAAAAAAACCCCCAAAAAACAACAAAACTGCAGCTCCAAAGTTTCTCTGACTTTTCAAAGGACAAAAGAGGTTTTTGTGCAAATAAGTATTAGGCAGACAAATTGCAAACCAAAACTTTGCACAGAAGCTTGAAAAGTTAAATGGGATGAGAAGAATATTAAACCGCTATGTTTTATCAAAGAGCTTTTAATTAATTATGTAATTCCAATAGTTGTCTAACTCAAATCATATAGCTCTTCATAATGAATTGTATCTTCATTAGTATCGGACAAGTTTGCAGTTTGACTGAATATCGGTTTGATTCTTGAAGAACAATACACCAGTTAGCATGAGGTGCATCATGGTGTCAATGTGTTGAACAGTTACAGTACTCACCTTTCCTATACGCTGCATAATCACCTTCTGTTCCTTCTCACCCAATCAAATTCAAGCCCCTCAGTCCCACTGCATTACTGATGGTCCACGTTCATATAAAGGCTGATGAAATGCAGTGCCAGTCGAATTATTGTCATTCAAATGAGCTCTCCATTAACTTTGGCACATTAGCTGATGCTGCAGTTGTATCAAAGTACATGGCCTTTTTATGCTGTGTTTGATTACTCCGGTGTTGATGCAAACATTTTGACTGGATGCTGATCGACTCTAGAAAAAGACTTGGCTGGATTGAGATTTAATGCATATGGGTTGTTATGTTATTTTGTTTTACAATTTGATGCTGTAAAATTGTTTTCATGTAGTGAAAACACAATGTTTATGTTCACTCACATCATTTCTATAGCAACACTTTTACTTCTTTCAACAGTCATTTTTAAAATCACACCAGGTTGTTCTTACATAACCTTGTATTATTTTTAGTTGTGGTTTTAAGTGTTTACAGGATTACTTGTCTTCCTATTTTCATTATTCGATATGTAGTTTTGCTGGCACAAAGACCATATTTTCCCCGAAGGATAATAGTTTAGTTTGAATACATTTTGTCTTGAAAATAAAAACTAAACAGACCTTTAATTAGGTCTAGTTTATTTTCAGTATACATGTAAATACAGTAAATATGAGCAGCAAGGAGAATATACAAAAATTAATATAACAATAAAAATAAAATATATATATTTCAAAATAAATGCAAAAAAGTGCAGCTGTTAATGGGATGTGTATTTTTATTTCAGTTGTATTTGTTTTCTCTTATATAAAATCATATCACTCAGTTTAACATATGATATCACTGGCTCCCACTGTTGAAATACTGCTCCTGTACATTTTAAATCATTGTATTCAAACATATTACTATTCCTGTTTGCTTAAATTTTGGTATATATAATATTTGAGTAGCAAAATAAATACGGATTTTGTGTTTAAAGAATGCTACATTTCAAAAAAAAATAAAAAAAAATAAAAGTAAAATATGTTTCATATGGCAGATTCTTAGGGAAAAAGATGAAATAAATAAAAAAGTGCATAATTATATATCATGAATTTATTATATCATATCTAAATTATTTATTAAGATGTGAGTCAGCCTCCATGAGTTCCCTACCTGAAAGAAAGAAATGAAGGATACTGAATATGTGCTATATCCAATTACAGCTTAATTTGGGCAAGAAGAAGGAGCTGTGTTGGGATGACTAACAAGCAAACACCCTCCCAAACCTAGCAGTTGCAAAACCACCATTATTGCAATCAAAAGAGCTGGATGTACTGTAATCGTTTTCTGCCGCTGACTAACCAAGTAATTCACTAGCAGTTACAGGTCTGATTACATAAAAAATATTTCCAATAAATCCATACAGTGAAACTATGAGGGTCATCCATCTATACCAGCACGTCATGTGACAGCTGTGGTGGTAGTTTTGAAGAAAGACCTGCAGACTCACAGGCCCAGATGACAAATGGTTTCAGAGCACGGACATAGACGACTAACAAACAAAACAAACAACAGAAAACCCTAAAAAACCAAGCATGTAAAGTATAAAAGCTCCTAAGACTGTTTTAGCATTTAACATACTATGATACAATACTCTTAACTTAAGGTCTACTTACTAGCTTCTTCTAATCCCTTTCAACTACATCTCATGGTCATCATCAGCAGATGAGTTTGGGGTTACGACCACCTGTTATCATGTGACCAAAGTCCCATGCTTGTCACATGTTGACAACTGATGGTGTCTTGAGATGCGGTTGAAAGCCCTGGAATGAAGCAAGTAAGTGAACCTTGAGTTAAGAAAATTATTCTTGTTGGGTAGATTTTATATGTTACGCAATTTAACTGAAATTTAGTTTATAATAGTTTATATAAATAGTATACATATAGTAAATGGTCTGGTTTGGCACAATTTATCTCGCTTAACTTATGTTCCTAATGATGCGACAGAACCTGATGGTGTCATTGATGTCCAGCCAGTGCTGGTAGATACTCTCATGGGCTTAAGACATACAGGTAGCCCATGTAGTTTGGTCTTTTGTAGATTACCCAGAATCCCCCTCCACTCCGAAGGAGTTGCAGCGGCTGAAGTACGTGTGCAGGTTGCTGGAGTCATTGTCGCACTTGTGGAATTGACCCTGAAGGTTTCTGTCCAGATGATGATCTGAAATGAATAGTTTCAAAAGAATATTATGTGTGTAAGTCTGTGAAGTGGCTTTTATACAATCACACTTTTTATATACATGAATTTAATTTGCACATATTCATCTTTAAAGATACTACATCAGCTGTACTGCATTAAATATGTGGCACAAAATATGTGTTTTATGTATTTACCTTCTCCATAGTTAATATCAGTAGGTTTGGTTTTATATAAAACATTAAAGCAACCACATCCAATTTTCTTTTTATACAGAACAAGAACAATAAAACAAGGCACATGGTTTGCTTTGTGTGAACTGGATTATTCAATCAGCGGTTCAAATATTTATCCAGGCTTATCATATTGTTCACAAGCAGTGAATCCTGTTTCCCTAAACAATGCAAATGCAAAGTGCAAAGCATCACAAAGCCACTGGATGCAGCAAAGCGTGCTGACAAAAACAAGGCCACTGCAGGACATCTGGTTTGATATGAAACGCTTTGAGCTGAGTCAGTGACAAAGCAGGAAGGCAGGAAGGCCCCAGAGGCTCTACAGGAGAGGGTTACACTCACTGCATAACTGATTCATATTAAACAAAGAGCATTCTTCACCTTGAATATTATTGTTTGACAAAATATCTCACTTACCACTATTATGGGGATGATGTTATTCTCCATGAAAACTGAGCAAACTTCATCTGCTGATGAAGACTGTGAGATGCAGCTGAAAGCTCCAGAAAAAGCAACAACTCCTCCAAATGAAATGACAAAATGCATCATTTGTAACTGCCTTCCAGAACGAAAAATATAAGTGTTTTCTGATCTAATGCCCCTATCGACAGGATGACAAAACTGCTGCAAAACTATCTTAACTGATATGTAGTTAAGGTCTGGTTAGGTTTAGGAAACAATAGTCTTCATGTTTAAAAGAAACCAGCATTGACAGTATGCATTCTTATCTCATTAATGCATGTTACTAACTCGACTTCTTCTGTCTCACGTAGTTCTGTGCTTTCTTGTCAACAGGTGTTTCTGGCCCAGAAGCTGTGGTTGTGGGCTTCCTGCTGCCCCCATGTTCCTGCTTGACACCCGGTGCAACAATTGCTAACATTAGCTCAAGTAATCATGACGGTGAATTGTTTTTATCTTATTTTACCAATAAGGTGGTGTCAATCAGAGCCTCTATTACCCCCGCGGCCTCTTACTCAGAGGTTCCTCACCAGCAACAAGAGAGTTTTAACCAGTTTTATCCCATCAACTTGTCTGAGCTTTTAAAAACAGTATCACAAATGAGAGTGTCCTCCAGCCCACTTGATGTAATACCTATAAAGTTTTTACTGGCCCCATTTGATCTCTGTTTTTAACAGCTCCCTATCTACTGGTTGTGTCCCTGATTATTTTAAAACGGCTTGTGTGAACCCACTTTTAAAGAAACCTGGTTTAGATCCCTCCCTCCCACAAAATTTTAGACCAATTTCAAAAGTGCCTTTTATTTATTTATTCTAGAAAGAATTGTGTCCAAACAGCTGCTCACTGTACTGGAAAATAACAAATTATCTGTCTGTTTCAGGAAGTACCACAGCACTGAGACTGCCCTGCTTAAAGTCACCAATGACCTTTTAATGTCTGCTGATGAAGGTATGTGCTCAGTCCTGGTACTCCTGGACCTTAGCACTGCTTTTGACACCATTGATCACAACCATCATGTTAGACAGACTGAGGCACTGGGTGGGGATCTCTGGTACTGCCCTAGAATGGCTTCCATCCTACCTGTCAAATAGGAAGTTTTGTGTGTCTGTAAACAACTATGTCTCTTCATTCTGTCCAGTTAAATATGGTGTGCCTCAGGGTTCAGTCTTAGGATCCATTTTATTTTCCTTGTATCTGCTTCTCCTTGGACATATTATCCTTAAACATGGTATTTCTTTTCATATTTATGCTGATGACACACAAATGTACTTGCCCGTCAGATCCACAGACCCTGGAATGCTGAGTTCACTTAACAACTGCCTTTGTGAAGTTAAAAAATGGATGTCAAATAATTTCCTCCATCTGAACTCAGGCAAAACAGAAATCCTGGTCATCGGGAACCAGCAGATGGCAGTATTTGTTTTGCCATCTGCTGGTTCCCTAGTAAATCACATTAAGCCTGTGGCAAAGAACCTTGGTGTTTGGTTTGATAGTAATTTAAATTTCGAGCAGCACACCACAAAGCTTGTTCAATCATGTTTTTATCAACTTAGAAATATAGCAAAAACTGTCCAGAACTCAGCTGCCAGGCTTTTACCCAGAACAAAGAAATATGACCACATTACCCCTATTTTAGCTTCATTACACTGGCTCCCAGTATGTTTTAGAATTGACTTTAAAATTTTATTGATCACTTTTAAAGCTCTTCATGGCCTCTCGCCTTGTTATATTTCTGACCTTTTAGTCCCATACACACCAGCACGTACCTTGAGATCCTCGGGCAGAGGTCTGCTGTCTGTTCCAGAGTCTCGACTGAAAACTAAAGGGGACAGAGCGTTTGCTGTCAGGGCCCCGAGACTCTGGAACAGCCTGCCCGAGGAAATCAGGTCAGCTGAGTCAGTGAACTCTTTTAAGTCTCTTCCTAAAACATACTTTTATAGGAGAGCCTTTCCCGATCTTATTTGACTTTATTTCATCCCTTTTATTTTATTCTATTTTACTTATTTTATATTTATCTTAAATGTGTATTTTAGTCTTTTCAATGTTTTCTTGCTTTTATCTTGTATTGTTTCTGTATTATTGATTTTTGGGTATTATTGTCTTTACACTTGTTAAAGCACTTTGTAACTTGTTTTTGAAAAGTGCTCTACAAATAAAGATTATTATTATTATTATTATTTCTTTGTGGAT